ATATGACATATAAATGCATATCTTTTTATATAATCATATGGAATTATATATAATTTATATTAATAAATTTATTGTTATATGCCATATAATTGCGTATTATTCTATATTATTATATTACATTCTCATATTTTCCTGTAAAACGTCAATATAAACCTGTCCTTAACCGTTTGAGTGCTGAGGTGCGCCAAAGCGCTCTTCTTGCGCTGTGCCAAAATCGCGGAGAGCGCGGAGGCGCTTCTGTTTATTTAAAGAAATAAATAAAAGTAAGTTTATTTGAATAAATGTTATTTTTTGATATTTTTTTGTAATAACACAATATTTGTGATCTCATTGGATAACTACTCTTATTAATTTTTTTGCATACACACCCAATCACTTAAGCATTTTTGGTAAATAACCACAAAAGTTGTTTAGCATTCAAACGGTTGATTTCGGCCGCTCATATCGAGCAAATATCTCACCGTTGAAATGCAGTGGAGCGAGTAAAACGCCTACAGACTCCTATAAGAACGCATGGGAGACTAAAGGAATATGCGATTTATTTTGTGTGATTTTTTTTATGCGGTATATGAACTCCAATGGTGTCGTTTTTCAAATGACGAAAGCGATTTTGAACCAGTTCATCGCAAGAATGGACTACGACGAGTAACAGTGAATTATGTGCTTTGTGAAAATTTCTCCATTTATGAGAAATTAAGTTTTTTTTTAATCATACCACGTGTAATTTAATTATTTATTTTGTTTGAAAGCACCTTCTCACTATTTCGTAAATTTCTGAACATTTTTTTTCGTGCGGTTTCTTTTATGCGGTCCCTATCTACCGCACAAAAAACAGGTTTGACTGTAGTTCGGAAACGTCTGAATGTCGGCTTTAAAAATATGAAATAGAAAATATGGGTTTCTATTTAAGAATTGTGACGTGATCTTTGCAGGATGTTTCAAAGTTATGTCACGGTGAAATTTCTCCCGCCGTGACATGTAGTATTTCATACCCTGTAATATTTGTTTAACATGTATTCGTAATACTGATACTTATCGAGATAATTCGGTTTTCTTTATTTGATCCCTATACATTTTTTTGAAACTAAACCTATTTTTGTCTCGGAAACTATTGACTTTCAGACCTATGTTTGCTAGGGTCTGTTTACTCAGTTTAGTGAGTTGTACACGTCCTACCATTGTGCGCAGCAATTTTTTTATACCCTGTATATACATATAAAACACACACACACACACACACACAAAAAGAGATAGAAAGAGAGAGAGAAAATATATATATATATATAACTGCCGTGTAATCGATAGTATTTTTCCAACGTTACTATGGTTGTACACTGAAGCATTAACAATGACATTGACGATGATGTGTGTATATTACATCACAGCAATGAATGATGCCTACGTGATTGGTGCTATGCATAAAATGGAATTAATATGTTACTAATAAAATTACTCTTAAAATAAATCGCAAAAATTCATTGTGAGTTCACACTCTGTTGCTTGACAAGTTGCAAAAATATTTATAAAATATCTTACGTTCATCTAACACGTAATTCAGTGTACACAGTATAATGGAGCAGCAATCTAGGCTTTGATTGTTCCAATTAGATCAACTGCGTCGATCAGCAATTCAGTTATAGAAAAACAGAGGGGGGCAGGGGGCGGCATCGTCATTACTAATTTAATAAGTAAGTAAGTAAGTAAGTAATTGAGTAATTAGTAATCAATTTGATCAAAAGATAGAAATCGGTTCTGTGTTGACACTATGGAAAACGGTGCCCTGAATGAACATGGTTGCCTCTCTTCATCATAACCTCGTTTACTTTACACACTTTATAGATTAACACGTTGAATGCCGCACGATTTCATGGTACAAAATACTTGAAATGGAAAAAATATGGTATTAAATCATTTGATTGAATTGCACTGTTATTATTGCAGGTTCATCTAGCTGAATGTCACCACATTAGTTAGCATTATTTATAGTATAGAAATGTTTTCAAATAATCATGGTTTAATTGAGTGAACTATAGTAATTAGATTTGGTTAGGGGTCACCGGTGACCCCCATGGCACTCAACGTGTTAATGAAATATTTATAGGTAGAATATCTGAGGTGAGCCTAATGTATAGGAACATAGCATTCTGAAAACACTATGTCAGGGCCGTGTTTTTTCGAAACAAGAACGACTTTTCGAATGATTTGTCGAAATTAATCGAATGCCATATGCTTAACCCATTATAGGGCACATTATTTCTTTGATGATAATTCATATTCCCTGCCGTATACATATTAGAAATACTTTAAAAAACAATTATTATCGAGAATTTTTTTTTCGAAATTTCCCTAGATTCCTTGTTTTATGGTGGCACCTATTTGTGCCACCAACCGTTCCTGCAACACCATAAGGATCAAAATGGTGAACGCAGTCCCTGTAATTTGACCCGTAATAAAAGTGGCATCTATATGTGCCACCAACCTATAAAAGGTTAAGATAGAATAACCTCCATAAGAAACGCAGATTCGGCAAAAATGAGACGTGGTAGTAGGGTAGCGCCACATTAACCCTTTGACCGCTATGAACGCATACATGCGCCAGGCGAAAGCTATCGGTGTGGACTAAGGACGCATATATGCGTTTGTCAATTTTCTCGATCACCTACATAGAAGTAATACAATTACTTTTGTGTGAGATGAATACAAATGCATTCCTTAGTAGTGGAAAAAATAACGCTCTTTAATCATTTAATCTTGTGCAAAAGGATTACTATAACTTATTACTATTTGCGCCTTGAATGGTTAATCAACAGAGTTCAGTCTAGCGAAAAAGTATTCCGTCCTCACCGATCGTCAGCGCTGGCCGCGCGCCGTCCGTACGGACCGAGTATTCAGCAGTCAAAGGGTTAAACGCGCGAAAACCCCGAAGAACAGAAATTGCGAGCGAACGCTTGAAAAAGCATCGATGTAGAAACGTGTTAACCCATTCGAGACGGCGATTTTTTTCGAACACGGCCCCAGGAGCGAAGGACACAAGGACATTATTATTATTATTGCACACACGGTGTGCAACCGGTCTTATAGCCTCGGAAATCAATTGCAATCGGTCTCGAATGGGTTAAGCGATAAACGAAATTTTGTTTATTTCTGAATGAACAGTACACTGTCAAGCATTAATGTGACCGACGAGGATTCTGATGAGCTGAACAACGTCCGTCTCACGCTCCAACACACGTTCGTTCGCAGTAAGGTAGAATATGTCAAGCATAAAGCGAGACGCGCAACTCGGGCAAGAAATCCGTCGATACTTGCCTCTCAAGTTTCGACAATCGCATTATCTCGCTCCCGATACTACGTCAATCGATGCATTCGCATTGGCCCATTTACTGATTTATCGTGCACCACTGTCTGCGACAAGTTGTAATATTTACAATATCCAACAATTACATTACGATTCGATATCTGATTTTGCTTCGTTTACGTACTTGTAGTTAAAATTCTGTTCCTCAGGCAATTTTGTGTCATGTGTTTTATTACCATACACAGTTCCCTTGAGACAAGCTCAGTTTGTTAAAACACTTCAAAACAATCATTAAATGTGGCGTCCAGACCCGAATTTATAATATTTTTTGCAGAACGTTACATATAATATACAGTATAAATATAAATTAATACTTTTTCAAAATTAAACAGCCCAGTCCAAACTACTCCCTGCGTTACACATTTAAACACAATCCATGTAAATACATGTTTCCCATCGAGTTCCCACACTTTTGATTATTCAACTTTTTCGATATCTGACGCGTACGTATATTTTGGTCTGTATTGTGCAGTAAACTTGATTTATTACTACTCCAATCCGCTGAGTTACTTTTTAATTTCACGATAAAATTACAACGATAATTTTGCTCGTAAATGAAAGTACCGAATTTCCAGACTTACCTAAACGTGTAAGAGTTACCACCGTGGCATTACACAATTGACAAATTGCTGATCTGTCGAGAAACACACATACGCGAAGAAACAATCCTCTTTAGTGTACCGGTAACAGATTTATGAAAAGTATTAACTTGATAAACGGTACTGACAACATGGGTCAACCGAAATTTCTAAAAGAAAAAGATCGTCCCGGGAATCTCACGGTTTCGAACACGCGCATGCACCACGCGAACAGCGAACACTAACGCAACCTCGTAGATTGCCGGCAGAGCTGCAGAATTTCGGAGTGTATTAAAAATGCACGTTCCTTAAGATGGCGACACTTTCTGAGGAAAGCCCTGTTTCCAATTGGATCGTCAATCGATATTCTAAGAGGATTGATCTTTTTTTCGATTTTCGTTACATGGTGAGGAAAACATTCAGATGTAAATAGATCAGAGTTAAGTATTTACCTATGTTATACTATTCAATATATCATATGTTATACTCTATGTTTCATAATTGCTATTGATTTACATACAAGACAATACAAATTTGCTATTTTATAGGTTGTAAGTTATGTACATATTTAATGAACCTTATATTACAAACAAATTCGTTAGAAATCCTTCCTTTATAAAGGGAGTAAGGTTTTTTTAATTTATGGATGATGTATACATAATATACAGAAAAATACAGAACTGTTAAATTAATTTTCAGTTTTGAAGTTATATTGTACCCATGTGGTACGTTTAAATTTTTGTAATATACTGGAAATGATTTGATTGATTTCAAACCTTACTTTAAGAACTTAATAGAAATAAAATAGTTGTAAAACAGAATATTATAAAAAATTCAAATTATATAATCCTTTCATTTTTAATTTAAAATATAAAGTTGATGTAAAATGTAATTTACGTGATTTATTAAAGTTAATAAAAAATGCAAAATTCAATATGAACAGTGCAGTTGGAAACAAAATTGAATGGACATAGTACAAATAATTACTATACAATTATAATCAAAGTAGTATTATTAAAAATTTAAATTACATTTAATGTTTGTCCTCATGACACATGCATTATTTATTATAAAATGCAATCAATAAAAGAAAAAGAATTAACTGTGAATAATTCCAAAAAACTATAAATAGTTTATTTTTATCCATATTTATCTCTATGGATAAAATATCTCTAAACTGTTAAATCTGATTATCTCACTTATCCAATAGGACTCCAAAATCTAGTCTCTCTATTAGATTCCAATCCAATTCAAATTCGGAGTTTATGTATGTTATGTCTATTAATCTATTAAATATTTGCAAAGTTTCTTCTTGAGAAATAAACTCTATCAAATTCTACAGTTACTATAAGAAATTGCTTTTTTATTAGTTTTCCTCCGCAATTATAGACTATTATTATTAGGAAAGTATTTTTAGGAAAGTGCTCTTCAAAATTAATTACTATGAAAGATTGGTGAAAATATGAAACACATGTTTGTAATGTAAACAGTAACATAACTAAATAAAAACCATGTTTAACGAAATTTGATAGGTTTACGAACTAAACAACAGATAATGACATTTCCAATTTTCAGACACTAAAGTCATAGACATCTGGTTTTGTAAATTATAATCTTAAACTTTATGAAGAGACCCTGTATATTTGATATAAAACGTATTACGGTTTTGCATGTTAACATTTAAACCTCGTTGAAATAACTATGGCACAACGTGTACCCAATTATGTAATATTATAATTATATTTGCTATAATTATATTTTACTATATTTTACATTTATCAAAATTAAGTAAAATTACAATTTATTAAATATTTACTTTTCTGTAAAATTAATTTATTAAAATTTTTACACATAAAATATATTAGTTAATAAATTTCAAATGTTTATAAAATTTACGCTTGTAATACTGGCCTTTCATATTTTCCTTCTAAGTGATCATTGACTGCTGCATATCCAGTGCCTCCCTGAAAGCAATATTATTATCAATGTTATTTTCATTATTGTTTGTGCTTTTATCTATATTTTTAACAATTACCCTTTGAAGAGGTATAATGTCTGTTTCAGATAATTTTGTGCCATCTAAGGGATTTATCCAATCTTTTTTTATAATTTTCTCTACACATTCCATTGTCACTACATCACCACTAAACACAAAGTAATTCGTATTTAATTATATGAAATGTATAATAGTAAATATTTATAAATAAACATGCCTTGTTTTTATAACTGCACATGGAACACTATTACTTAAAATATCATGAGTAATAGGGCACATATATCGTGCTTGTTTAACAATAAGAGATTTTCTATCATCAGGGTCTTTTACTTCTGTAAATTTTATTGGTACGAGATCTTTTATTTTCAATGGTTTTCCACTTATAGGACAATAAATTGTTTTATCTGGTTTCTGTAATACTCTTTCTTTTGCTTCTGGTGTTTTAGAAGGAATCCAAAAACTAGGTAATATTTTATCTTTGCCATTGCACATATTGGAAACTGAAGAAGCTGATTCATCTTGTCTAATTTGACTTCTGGAAACAATATTTTTCTCCCCCTTCAGAAAGTTTTGTAGCTTTTGTAGTTCCTCATTAGCAGTTTTCTCATGAGATTTCTCCTAAAAATATAAAATTCCACTTTAAGTATCCTGCATGTAATTATTGTAATTATAGACATCTAATTACGAATTAAATTTAAAAATAAAGAATGTATGGATCAAGCAGATAAGACTCAAGAAAAAATACTACAGTTGTTCATTCCAAAATCTTAAATAAGTTACATGCTCACTCGGTGTTAATTATGTATCTACGCATCTAATAAACTTTAGTTATTAACCCTTTAAACTCTACAATTATTTACATATTTGCTTATAACAACTCAAGAATTATAGATATTTTATTAGATCTAATTTAAAGTTTGACCATTAATTTTTGTTTATTATGGTTAAGAAACATTAGATTTCACTTTTTTACTTATATTTATACTTTATGTTTCATGGTGAAGTATTATAAGATGTTTATTAATGGAGATAATGTTTTAAAATAATTGTCTGAAATTTAGTATACCAGCACAACTAGCTCTTCAAGTGAAAAATGTTAAGTAGCTAAGTTTGTAAGACATTCTGATCTACTGTATTTCCCATTTTCAAATACATTTTATTTAACTCAATTGATTTTAGGGCAGCTGCACGATTTCATACTAACCTCCTCTTGCTGTTTTTGTTTCTCGTATTCCTTTAATTTTCTGGCATATTCTTTCTTTTTTGTTAGAACATATTCCAAGATTGCCTCTTTGTCAAATAAATAACCATTTTTCCTGTAAAAAGAAAACTAGTAATATGAGAAAGGAAAAAAATGTAATTAATTGAAAGGTACAAACGTTATAACAGGATTTCGGCATGGTTGTAACGTAAGACAGCAACAGTCAAAATCCTTAACAGAATCCTTGCCTACTCTCTGTGTATTTGTTCCATAACCTGATGCCGTCGCATCTTTCTTTTTCTCATGATACGTATAAACAGCACCAGCCGTACAATTTCTCGCGTGTCTTGTCATATTTTGTTTAATAACAGTACAATATTTTCTAACCTATAAACACAGAAAAACAATGCTAAACAATATCCTTGCATAGACAAACTTTAACTCATTGGTAAACGGTTATAGGAACATATTCCTTTTTTAACTTTGTTCCATCAAAACGTACTCTTACACCCGAAAAACGTTTGTAAGAACTATTACTGATTGTCACGGAATGAAATTTTCGCGTTCATGAGAACAGTCCCGGGACTGCACGGAGACAAGAGTGGTGTCTCGTTAGAGATTTTGTTTATGATTTTGATTGGTCACGTGTAATTGTATTAACGAATAGCAAATTAGTATCGAATATGAGATGAGAAATGATGAAAGTTAACCAATGCGACTCGTATTTTTTTCAGAGTTCTTTTCGTTAACAACACGAACATTTTATTTGGTAGTAATCATTAAGAAATCGTACGTACGAAACAATCATAAACATAGGTATAAATTCCTATAGTCATTTACCAATGTGCTAACGATATTTACAAACGTTCTGGGAATTTTTTTCTAGAACAACAGTGTCTAAATCGGTGCCTGCGAGCGCTCTAGTAACCTTTTTTTGAACCACCGATGGTCCATACCTAGTTTGGTCCATCTGGCGGTGTGGACCACCGGTGGTCCACAGTATTTATGACAGTATTTTTAAGAACTCACACAACTACTCAGGCTCTGATGATTGTTACTGATAACGTCAAAAGTACTGAAGTAAACAAGTGCTGCCAGATGAATAAACAACTGATCATTTTGTGTACGCCGAACATAGAGACTTCGAAAAAACGCGCCGGGTTCAACGTGTTAACAATGCGTAGAACTGCTCTCATCACGTGGCTAGATCGAGGGAATGAGGGGAATACAGTTACCCCTCCTTGGCGTTAGCTAGTGGTTCTGCGGTGGTTGGGGATTGTTGGAGGCTGCTCGCAGCTGAAGAGTAAGGTAGTGGAAGGAATAAGGTGAAGTGGGGGAAAAATGTGGTTTCGCCTTTTTCTGGCTCCGCTGGCTCTCAACTGTCTTCCAATACGTTGAAACTTGTATATACGTATGTATGTACCACGCCTGAAGTACGACAAGGGGTCTCGTCCACTCGTGATGAGCGTTGACGCTTCGGTTTCAGTCGTTTTTATTATTGATTAATTTGCGTAAACGAAGATCGTAAATAAAACAGAATAGAAAAAACTTCTTATTTTTCTCTCTCTCCTTCTCTCCCTCCATGCTTCTCTCTTTCCATAAATTATAAGAATATAACAAAAATCCTGTTAACCCTTTGCGGACGAACGTCGACATTTCGGCGAGATCAGATTTTCATATTTGGAACAGTACGTGGCAAACGAATGATCTGATTACTCAAACAGCAAGAGACCAATGCGTAGTTTCCTTATTTTTATTATTTATGCGATCGATATAGAATTTAGCTTCATCTGTTAAAGGTTTTGTACATTTCAAAGTATCTTCGTCCGCAAAGGGTTAACACGTTCCGTGCCAGACCGTTTTTTGAAGACATTCCGTTCAGGCCGGACATTTTACAATTGTATTGTTTTGTTTCTGGAGTATGCCTTACAATGATTAAAATAATGCAAAACTCATAACTGTCAAGAAAAGGGTGTATAGTTTAAGACGCATAACACAACAAAGCAATAAATTAATTTTTTTAGGAATTAGTTTAACAAATACCTGGCTGAACATTACTCTACCAAGCGAGTCGTATCCTCGCACATAATATTTTTTAATGATGTCTATATTAGTTTAAAATAAAACATTTTAGTTGAAATATATTTAATATTATATTTATGTGACAAGTTTGTATATAATCAGGAAGGGATATTACGGTGAACTTTGCTAAAACATGGCAAACATAAATGTGGTTTATCCACACACTTATTACAGAATGTTGCAACTTTTACAGTGCAGTTTCTTGCCGATTGGGAACCGCATTTTTTAACGTTCAAACAAATCGCAGTAAAAAAGAGTGATTACCACGCCGCGACAATAGTATTAAGATGCCCACAATTGACTACATAATACATTTTTAATAAATTCTTCATTTTACAATGACAATCCCCAATGGCTTGAACGGAAAGTTCAGCGTGGGGCGCATACACCCCACGCGGCACGGAACGTGTTAATGATATTTTTGGATAAATATTAATTGATCCTTGTTACGTTCAGACGAACTCGTCCCAAACCATAAACCAATCGCCAGCAAAGCGACCTAAGATAATCCCGTAATTATAGATCAAGTGCGCGAGCACTCCGAAATCTCGCTAATTTTTAGGATGGTTATCATAAAATTCTTGAACGCCACGTGTGACTTAGCGACAAGCTGTCACCGTAAAAAATCCGTAACCGTAAAGACCAGATGAATAGTTATAAATCACGAAGATGACAAAACGAACATAGACTTTTGACAATTTCCCACTTCAAGACGCTTTTAACCGCTCATATCTTTATTTACTATAAAAGGAATTAACTCAAACTTATTTCCTTCAATAAAAAATTTGGTGTATTTTAGAAATATGTACAATTTAATCACCTAATTTGTTGTAGTACAGTAATACTATAAATTAATGTTGAGCCGTTCATACGAACCGCGGCACTAAGCAAGCACCGAACAAACGAATATCATCTTAGTCGCGACCACTACCGCGTATTTTTCTTTCGTTTATACTTCACTTGTTTTCCACGTGTTCCCTCCCGATATTGTGTGTGTCATCGCATGGTTGACCTAACGTGCATCGAGGTTTACCTCGTCATCAGTATAAAACTGTATAAAATTATATAGAGCTGAATGAAGTAATACAAAACTATGATAAGCTGTATAAAACTATATAAAATTATATGAAAGTATATAAGACTATATAAAACTATATAAAAATACGGAAAATTACATAAATCTATATAAAACTATATAAAAAATGATTAAAGTGTATAAAACTATGTAAATCTGTATAAAACAATATAAAGATAGGTAAAACCGTATGAAACTATATAAATCTATATATAACTATAAAAAACCGTATAAAACTATATAAACCTATATAGAACTGTTTCATATAGCGTTATATAGCTTTACATAGTTTTGTTTAGTTTTATATGATTTTATATAATTTGATATAGTTTTATATTGATATATATAGATTCATATAGTTTCATATAGTTTTATAGTTTTTTATAGTTTTATATAGTTTTATATAGTTTTACATATTTTTACATAGTTTTAGACAGTTTTATATAGTTTTATAAAGTTTTAGATAGTTTTCTATAGTTTTGTACAGTATTACTCCTGTTTATACAGTGTTAACAGTTTTACACACGAAACGTTATCATTGTAAATAAGATAAGTAGCAGCGAGTCTGACGAACTCGGAAAGGGAGGTACAATAAAACTTTTCAGATATACTATCGAGTGTATCCTCTCTCCGATCAATCTCCTACAACGTCACAGAAATCCCTATGGACATAACGGAACCATTTTTTGTGCCATTCGAATAAGCAGAGAATTATAAATAGCATCCGAAAGAAAAAATGATCGAAACAAATAAAATGGTTTGCGATGAACAATAAAAAAAAGTTTCAATACCGTTGGTATAGTACATACAGCTTGAAAAACAAGGTCAATGGCTACCTAAAAGTCTACAAAATAGTTCCTTAACACGTTTGCTAAATTAACGTCATTTGTGACGGCCGCAATCCTATATTTTACATAATGAAAATGAAATGAATCCTATATATATTGTTATTAGAAATTATAAACTACATTATACTTAGGAACTGAATGAGTCGTTTCAGTTTCATTTTTCTAATATTTTGTTTAGATTTATTGGATTGAAGAAAATATTATAATTAAAGAAACCCTCGCGGAAGTAAGCGCTGGTAACCAACGTGTGAACCTCGCCGAGTTCTATAATTTCATCTTAATTATGGAAATTATCCTGCGATTGTCAATAGTCACTGAACGTATACTTGAATGTACGAGTGAATTTAATTCACAGGGTTCAAGGATCGGCAGGCCAGCCAAGCGAATCGAAGCGGTCGGTGATCCTGGGAAACTCCGTCGGAAGATTGGTTCCTCTTCATCGTTTCGCGCGTAAGAAAAACGGATAAAAATATCGGGCAATTACGTAACCCGTCTTGGTGGATGGGTCTCGTTAACCGGCTAAGTCGATCGTCCGCCACGCGAGTCTTGTTACCCTCTCCAGCAGTGATGCTCCCTCGATCTATATACGTGGCGATCCGCGGCTGCCAAGGAAGCGGACGGATGTCTCACAGTCGAGGATCAGACTTCGTTCAGCTCAGCCGATTCGAGCTGATCCAGGGAGCTTCGGGAAAATGGCGCTCTCAACCAGCCTGTTCCTGCTGTCAGGTACACTAATTCCAGTATTCATCTTGGTCTTCTCGCGTTCAGCATGTACGTTTCCCATTTTCACGATCTTCTCTTCCAAAGCGACGACCGCGGCGCTTTCTTCAAGATCCTTTTCAAGGCAGACCGGATACTCGCGCGTTCCGTTTCGAAATTGGGTGTTCTTCAATCAAAATTTTGTTCTCTTGACTACTCGTCTAATCGAAACTACCCTGTGTCTACATCGTATTTGCCAATCGAAATTATTCGTTACGTATTTATTTAACACGTTGAATGCCGCCCGATTTCATGGAGCAAAATATGCGAAATGGAAAAAGTGAAATTCACTCGATTGAATTGCATTGTTATTATTGCACGTTAATCTAGGTGAATGTCACGTTAGAGTATTATGTACAATACAGAAAGGTTTTCAAATAATCATTTAATTGAGTACTATAGTAATTCGATTTGGTTGCTCAGCAGTGACCCATTCAGCGTGTTAATATTTCAACTGTAATATTCTTACTGATTTCAAATTGAAACACGTTCCATACCTAAGCAAGTTGAAATTAGAATTTTTGGATCGACCGTTCCCTATCGGTATAGACAAACAGACACAGAGTTCCAAAATTTTAAGCTCAACACTTGAGGAAATGACTGAGTCGTCTGCCTATCTGATTTCCCACCCCGCCGTTCCTTTTTCTCGTCGTACGCCGATAACGATCGACGCAGTTTATACCGATAACTCTTGGCGAAACGTATCTGCGCCACAGGCATTCTATTCGGATTATTCATCGGCCGCATCGAGGCCGCGCCGGCCAGCTACGACCAGCGGCAAACGGGCGAGCTGAACGTGGACGCGAAGCTGGATAACTTCTTGATCGTCGTCGCGAACACGTTCAATGAAGGTTTGCTGGAGAAATTAGCAAGTCAGGCCGCGCTCCAGCTGAGCTTGTTGACTGCCAGGCGGAGCAACGCGGCGAAGCAGGGACCGGGGAAGCCGCTGGAAGCAACAGTATATGAGACAGAGGACAAGGAAGAGGGTAGGGAGCCTTACCACGTGGAGATAGTCCATATAGAAAAGGATGGAGACGACACGAGAAGGAAATACCCTCCTCCAGTATTAGCAGTGGACTATTTCGAGGATGGCCAGGGCAAGGTCAACGAGAAGGCAGGGCAGAAGACTTCAACCGACGAGCCAGATCCGCAGGTATCCATCAACGATAAAAATGTAGAGAAAAGGTCGAGGAGCGTTTGGGGAAACCAGAAAAATCGTAGGCTGATCGGCGAGAGGAGTAAAGGTGTGCTGCACGTGGACTCATCCGAGGAGAATCTTGCCCAGGCTGATGATCTCGTAGCGAGGGAGGTGTCCAAGGCTGCCAGACCAGGGATATCGTTGAAGAAGCAGTTGTCTAAAAAGGAGGAAGAGCTGTCATTGGTGTCGGAAGAACGAAACGAGCTGAGCAACAAATCCGATGAACTGGTACTCTTGGGCGGTGGTGTGGAGAACTGTGGGCCGGGCAGATACAGAGAC